GTTGACGAAAAATACCATGGCTCCTTTTGAGGTCCAAAGTTCTTATGCTAATTAATTCTTAGCACGCAGAAAGACAATACATTCAAATCGAGGCTTTAGGTGCGGAAAATAGGCGGGAATATATTTGGCGGGAATATACTTGGCGGGAAATTGTATATTTTTAGTCTCAAATTCATGAGAAAGCTGTGAACCGCAAATTAATGCTCTCTAACAGGTGTTGCTAGTTTCTTTTAAAATAAACGTGAATGGTTGGCCTGATTCGGAAAATAAAATATTACAAGTTTACGTTAAATTTCACCCGTTATGGCTAATTTGGCTATAGGTAAGCATACAATATTTGCATTTAGTGCTACGAATGTTACTGAAAAACTAAAAAAACCTCACATAAGAGGATGCCGATAGAGAATGAGGTAGTGATAACTATTATATTTTATATTCAGTTTATTTCTAGCTTTAAGAATATGAACAAGGACCAGACACAGAGCCGTCACTACGGTGGTGCGTGACAACAGGGCCGTCACTACGGTTGTGACACCCCCATGAAAAAAATCCTGTTGCAAAACGAACATCTAGGGGTATTTCATCGCCGAATTTTCAAACTTATTAATTATGGTTCACATACCTAGTCAGCAAATTGAACTTGAGCGCCTAACCCCCCCCCCCCCCTCTGAATCACATTGGCTGGCGATGGCCGTGTCAGAAATTCTGATAACCAAGTAAGAATGTTAGAAATAGGTTTTTAGGGAAATGGAGTGCACTTTTCTTGATTAGTCTCTCTTTTGGGAATTAAGAAATTCCTCCCTATACAAAATTGAATGTTATCATGTTGAAAAATTTGTCCATTTAGTTTTATATTCTTATTTTCTAGTTTACTATATGTTTTACTCTAATAAATTAGCTTAAACGTTTTTTGTTGTTATGAGTTGTTATGATATTCTCTAAACATATTTGTATAATGCTCACCATGACATTATCTGACATTTACACATTGAGTAGTTTCAAACAAAAAGAACAAAATAATGTTGTTTCTGCTTTGACTCTGTTTACTTTCTTTCACTCTTTCAATCGAGTAACTCAAAATGAAATCGTGGTGCTGCTGAGATTATATCCCCTTTTACAAATTTGAATAGTCACGCCTGTCTTGAAATGCCATTTTATCAGGTATATAGTTTTATTTGACCCCTCTTTGGAACCAAAACAGTGTTGACAAACTGGGTGAGTTTATTGTGGAAGGATGTGAAAGAAGCTTATGTGTCAAATATTCAATAGTTGATATTGTCATTTTAGATTCATCTAACACTGAAACTTTGGTGGTTACAGAGACCATTCAAGAAGCACTGGATATTCTTAAAAGGCATGAAATAGAACACACTTTAAGATACTCGGCCTACTATTCAGAGAAAGGGTTTGGTGAAACTGGTGAGCAAATAAATAATGCCATTAATTTTAGATGTAATTTAAGCCATTAGAAGCACTCTTTTCCCCCTGCATTTACAATCAGGTACAAAAGTTTTATTGTAAACAGATTTCTATTGCTTAGCACTTGGTACAGGATGATGTATAAGCTTTGTACTACAAAGATATTTAACAAGACAATTAGCCAAGAATCTCTCCAAGGACTTTAATCTTCAAGGACTTATCCTTGGCAAAAAATTACAGGGGGATGTGCCTGTCAAAATAAATTTACGAAATAATTAAAGAATAAAATTCTGCAAAAGTATTTGTCCTGGAGTAAAATTCTGAAAACATGATACCTGTCCTTGAATAAGTTCTAAGAAATGATGGTTCGCCTAAACATAATCTTATATAACTCCAAATGTGAGCTTTGAGAGAATAATTCTATGAAGTGGGCAACACTTTCATTCTCATTACCAATGTGACCTTTTTTTGAAACAGTATCTTCAAGGGCCAAGAGTCAAAGGGTATAGTCTAAAGATACCTGAATTTTCACCTGAGGAAGGAGACCCTCTAAGCAGACACTTTTCCCTGGTAGTCAGTATTATTTAGTAAACCCTCTTGGGCATTAATCAAATTAAAATTCTTGATGAACTCCAAAAATTTTGCAGAACCACTCACATGATAGGTCTTTAAATTTGCTTATAAAGTTTTTTTCAATAATTTCAGATTTCACCAAAAAGAAGCATGTGGTGAAATGGAATGGAAATGTGCCATTTATGATTGTAAATCAGAAAGTATTTGATTGCCAGCATGGAGTTGATAGGAATTTGAAAAAAAGGGGAAAAAGAAAGCTGAGCAGTACATTCAATCTGTGAGTTCCAAAGGTCTTTATTGTCTGTTAGTAACCATTCAAAAACCTTAAAATAGACATTACCTAAAATATAAAAAGTGGAAGTCTGCTGTTTGTCAAATTCAGAGTAGGAGCTATGATTTGAGAAATTCATTGTCCCCCCTGATTGATTGGGTTGACTTCATACAATTTTCTGTTTGCTAATAAAACAAAATCTGAGCACACTGACTTGAAAGAGATAGCAGTTATGCTAAATGTAAATCCAATAAGAACATTTTACAATGAAAAAATGTCATCTTGCCAAAAAATCTTGTAAAAACAATGTAGGTGGACAAAACCCATAAGATTCATTTCTTAAAATTGGTAAATCCCAAGTGTTCTTTGAACACAAAGTGAACACATTTACACAAATAACGTCGCGTAGGCCTAATCTCATGCCTTGAATCAGAAATGCTCCTCCAGTGTATTCTGGTAGTTTACGCAGTGGACCTCAAAAGGAGCCATGGTATTTTTCATCAACC